AAAGAAAATAATTGTGAAGGATTAGATGCACAGTGAAATGGAAAATGTACATAAGTACATTGTGCTGTGTGTGTGTGTATGCATTTGTGTGTACTCAGAAACAACAAATTATAGGAAGAACAATGGCTTTGGTGGCATATAAACCCAAGCTTACTTTTTCCCTGCCATCTGGAGTTTCCCTCAGCAAGTTACCTAACAGTTTTGAGCCTCACTTACTTCACCTCTAAAAGGGCAATTATAATGAGTTATACAGATTAAATGGGATAATTTCTTTTTTAAGTATGAAGCACAGTTCCTGGCATAGTAGAGGCATTTCTTCTCCTGCTTTCTCCTATGTTTCACTTCTAGAAAAAGTCCTGGAAGCCCAGGGGAAACCCTTGGCCAAAACAGACTAGAATAATACCAGCAGTCCTAATCTTGCGCCTCTGTCACCATCTAGTACTCCCTGTCCACTTCTTCATTCCTGCTGGTCCACCCTGGACTGACCATTCCCTGAAAACTGTGCTAATGCTAGAGGCCTTTCAGCTTATAAGGGCTCTAAGTTCAGTCCTCAAGAACAAAGCCTCTTTAACACCTGTCCACGTGTCAGTTGCTACTGCTATTCCTGACATTAATCATAGTTTCAGGGATATTTGAGAAACAGGAATGGCAGGAGGCAGGACTTCTCTGTGGTTGCCCTTTGGTGGCTCTGGAATGTCTGTGCATGCCTATGCTGCTTTGTGGTTAGTCAGTTGGTTGTGAGTTTACAGTTCCAAGTGACTTTGGGTGAGAAAAAGAATGTCTTTCAAAAACCTTGAGCTGCTGGAAGAATTCTCGTAGTTACTCAAATGTTTCTTTCTCTGTAGTTATTTTCTCTTTCGAGGTTACAGCAGTTAGAATTAAAAGCTGTAATACTGGCTTCAAGGCAAAATTGTTACAACTGGGCTTTGCTATTTATTTTGTATATGCATTTAAATTTTATGAAAGAATATGTGTATTTCAAGTGATGTGCATTTATTAAAGTTGTAAATCTGTGTAGAGTAAAACCACAACTTGTGAGTAGAAACATCCTAAAATATTAATAGTGGGTTGTCTCACTTTTTCTTTTTTCTATGTACATATTTTCTGATTCTGATTCTGTATAATATTTGCATATTACTTCTAAAACAAAACCCCAATTGTATACTATGTCACATATAATTGTTTTTTCATTTTAGAAGTTATATATGTATATAATGCTCAGTTAAATATAATGAGAGGGAAGACATTATTGATACTGAGGTGCTTGAAGGGCTTATTAAGGGAAGTTTTGTAAAAGGAAGAATCCTAAAAGTGTAGCAGAGAACAAAAGATGTGAGTATGGAAGAGAGGAGAGGGCTTTTGACTGATTTACTTTGATATCTATAGGTGGGTTTTTCCAGTAGTTAAATATTGTCTAGGAGTTTTTAACTTCTTCTATAGTCACATCCTTCTTTCCTAAGAAGATCTAAATAAGCCACCATTTACTATAGCAGAGTGGAGTTGAGTTGGAAAATTAAGTAGAGAGTAAGTGATAATAACAAAAAGTTTTAGCTGAAATTTTTTGAGTTAGAGGCACTATTTAAGCTCCAGTTTAGTCCTTATAAAATATACCAAGAGGTGGGTACTTTTATTATTTATATTTACAAATAAGCAAATCAAGTCACAGGGAGATTAGTTACTTCTCCAGGGTCTCCCCACTAGAAAGTAATGGTGCTGATTTGAACCTAAGTAGTCACACTTCTAACCTTGGAGAATGGCCTTATTTAAACAGTGATAACAACAGCCTACAGAGATACAGTGTAGAAAAAATAGTTTGAAAAACTCTTGGGACACACAGGAGAGTTATTTACTAACCTCAGAGCATGTCCTAAGGGGGCAAGCTTCATTGAAAAATTTCTCCAGGAACAAAGTAGCTGGCCGGCACTAAGTCTCTCCCTTGCCCCCCAGCATAAACACATGGCCACCTGCAGGAACTACTGAGGTGCCAGCATTCATTATGTAACTTGCTTACACCAAGCCCCACCTCCTGTATTTTGGTAGATTGGCGTTTCCCAGTCATGTTTGCCTCAGTCCCAGTGCTGCAGGCCACCGCCGCCCCCAAAAGTGGGGCAAACCTTGACAACACCATTTCTCCCAACCTGTGTGTTTTGTGGGGTCTTGGTCCTGGGGGATGGTAGTGACAGTGGCAGTGGTAGGCCATGAGAAAGCCTGTTGCACATCTTGTTAAAATCACATGCCCTGTATATGCCACTTTGTGGATCTACCCAGGCCACACTGATCCTGGAGGTAGTGGCAGTAGGTCTCATTTCATAAGCAGACTGGTGTGCATCATTTTAAAACCACATGCCCCACCCTGACTGGGGACCAAACAATGCCCACAATAGGCAAAGAAAGCCTCTGCAGATGAGTGGACTGAAGAAAAAAAGCAGCCAGGACACAATAGCAGGATGCACACAACACACATAGAAGACACTCAAGTCCTGGTGAACAGGAAACACTGTTCTGTAGGATACTACAGAACTCTTCTTCATAAGGCCATTACTTTCAAGAGCAGGAGATATAGGTAACTTACCTAACACACAGAAACAAACACAGAGAGTTAGACAAAATTAGGTGACAGAGAAATTTGTCCCATATGAAAGAATGGGACAAAACCACAGCAAGAGACACAAGCAAAATGGATATAAATAATATGCCTGGTAGAGAATTTAAAGTAATGATCAGAAAAATACTCACTGGCATCAATAAAAGATTGGAGGATGTCAGTGACACCCTTAACAAAGAGATAAAGAAGAACCAACTGAAGATGAAAAACACAATAAATGAAATTTAAAATACCCGAGATGGAATAAATAGCAGGCTAGAGGAAGTGGAGGAATGAATTAGCAACCAGGAAGAGAGTAATGTAAACTAATCAAGCTGCACAGCTGAAAGGAGAAAAATATGTAAAATAAGAATATTCTTGGGATGCTTGGGTGGCTCAGTAGTTGAGCACCTGCTTTCGACTCAGGTCGTGATGCCAGGATCCGGGTTTAAGTCCCACATCAGGTTCCCTGCAAGGAGTCTGCTTCTTCCTCTGCCTATGTCTCTGCCTCTCTCTCTCAGTCTGTGTCTCTCATGAATAAATAAATCCTAAAAAAACCCAAAAGAATATTCTTAGGGAATTCAGCAACTCCATCAAGCATAACTACATTCACATTATAGGGACGCTAGAAGAAGAGAGAGAAAAGGGGGCACAAAATTTATTTGAAGAAATAGTAGCTTATAACTTCCCAAATCTGGGGAAAGGAAAATAAATCCAGAACCAGGAGACACAGAGATCCCCCAGCAAAATCAACTCAAGGTGTTGCACACCAAGGCACATAGTAATTAAAATGGCAAAAAAGTAGGATAAAGAGAGAATTTTAAAAGCAGCAAGTGAAAAGATAGTTACATGCAAAGGAAGCCCCATAGAGCTATCAGTAGATTCTTTAGCAGAAACTTTGTAGGACAGAAGGGAGTTGATATATTCAAAGTGCTGAATGAGAAAAAATCTCCACCCAACAATACTTTATCCAGAAAGACTATCATTCAGAATAATAAAATGAATGATAAAGAGTATATCACACAAGCAAAAGCTAAAGGAGTTCATGACCACTAAACCAGCACTATAAGAAATGTCAAAAAGGACACTTGAGTGGATAGATAAGACCACAAGGGTAAGGAAAGTAGGGAACACAAAAACAATAAAAATAGGTATACTATAAAAATCAGTTAAGGAATTCATAAGATAAAATTATGTGAAGTATTACACCCTATGCTTAAAATATAGTGGGGGGTGGTGAGTAAAGAATGGGTTCAGACTTAAGCAACCACCAACTTAATATATACTTATATGCAGGATGTATGTTTTATACAAATGTAGTAGTAACCGTAAATAAAAAACCAGTAATAGATATGTAAAAAATAAAGAGAAAAGAACCCAAGTATATCACTAAAGAAGGCCAGTGAACCATGAAAAATAACTGAAAGAAAGGATCAGAGAACTATAGAACAACCACAAAATAAGTAACAATATGGCAATAAATACATATCTGGTAATAGTTACTTTGCATGAAAATGAACTAAATGTTCAGTCAAAACATACAAAATGACAGAATGGATAAAGAAACAAGTCCCATCTATATCTGCCTCTAAGATTCTTATTTCAAGCCTAAAGACACATGCAGATTAAAAGTGAGGGGATGGAGAAACATTTATCATGCAAATAGATGTAAGCTGAGGTAGCAATACTTATATCAGACAAAATAGACTTTAAAACAAAGACTGTAACAAGAGACAAAAAGGACACCATATAATAAAGAGGACAATCGTTAATATTTATGCACCCAACATGGGAACAATTACATGAAACAATTAATAGCAAACATAAAGGAATTAATCAATAGTAATACAATAATAGAAGGGGACTTTATTTTATTTTTTTTATTGGAGTTCGATTTGCCAACATATAGTATAACACCCAGTTCTCATCCCTTCAAGTGTCCCCCTCAGTGCCCATCACCCAGTCACCCTGTCCCCCCACCCACCTCCCCTTCCACTACCCCTTGTTCATTTCTAGAAGGGGGCTTTAACACCTCACTTATATCAAAGGACATATTGTCCAAACAGAAAATCAACAAGCTAACAGTGGCTTTGAATGACACACTAGACCAAATGGATTCAACAGATATATTCAGAATATCCCACCCTAAAACAGCAGAATACACATTCTTTTCAAGTGCACATGGAGCATTCTCCTGAATTGATCCTATTAGGCTATAAAACAAGTCTCAACAAGTTCAAAAAGATCTAAGTCATGAATCTTTTCTGACTGCAATGCTATGAAACTAGAGATCTACCACAAGAAAAAATCTGGAAGGAGCACAAATACATGGAGGTTAAATAAGATGCTACTAACAGTGAATGGGTCAACCAGGAAATCAAATAAGAAATCAAAAATTACATGGAGAGAAATGAAAATGAAAACACAGTGGTGCAAAATCTCTGGTATGAAGCAAAAGCGGTTCTAAGAGGCAAGTGTATAGCAATACAGGCCTACCTCAAGAAGCAAGAAAAATCTTAAATAAACAACCTAACCTTACACTCAAAGGAGCTAGAAAAAAGCACAAATAAAATTCCAAACCAGCAAAAGGAGAAAACTAATAAATATTGGAACAGAAATAAATGATATAGAAACAAAATGAATAGAACAGATCAACGAATCCAGGAGCTTGTTCTTTGAAAAGATTAAAAAAAAAATTGATGAACCTGTAGCCAGACTCATTTGAAAAAGAAAAAATAAGATGACTCAAACAAAATCATATGAAAGATAAGAAATAATTGACACTACAGAAATACAAATGATTGTAAGATACAATTATGAAAAGTTATATGCCAACAAATTGGACAATCTGGGAAAATGGATACATTCTTAGAAACATATAATTTCCCAACACTGAAACAGGAAGAAATAGAAAATTTAAACAGGCTGATTACCAGCAATGAAATTGAATTAGTAATAAAATAAAAACTCCTGACAAAAAAAAGTCCAAGGCCAGAGAGCTTGCCAGGTGAATTCTACCAAACATTTTTTAAAAAAGATTTTATTTATTTATTCAGGAGAGACACAAAGAGAGAGGCAGAGACATAGGCAGAGGGAGAAGCAGGATCCCTGTAGGGAGCCTGATGTGGGACTCGATCCTAGGACTCCAGGATGAGTCAAAGGCAGATGCTCAACCACTGAGCCACCCAGGTGCCCCAATTCTACCAAACATTTAAAGAAGAGTTAATACCTCCTCTTCTCAAACTCTTCCAAAAATTAGAAGAGGCAGGAAAAACTTTCAAATTTATTCTTTGAGGCCAGCATTATCTTAATGCCAAAACCAGATAGGAACCACAAAAAAAGAGAACTATAGGCCAATATCCTTGATGAAAACAGATACAAAAATCCTCAACAAAATATTAGCAAACTGAATCCAACAATACTAAAAAAAATTCAAAAACCATTTGATTCCTCTCATATGTAGAATTTAAGAAATAGCACAAATGAAGAAAGGGAAAAAAAAAGAGACAAACCAAAAATCAGACTCTTTCCTATAGAAAACAAACAAGTGGTTATAGAGGAGCAGTGGGTAGGGGGATGGATGAAAGAGATGAAGGGGATTAAGAGTATAGCTATCTTGAGCACTGGGTAATAATGGGACTGTTGAGTTACTATACTGTACACCTGAAACTAATAGAACACTGTATGTTAACTATACTGGAATTAAAATTCAAAAAAATTTGAGTGTTTAGTGTCTTTCTCCTTCAATAGACTTTCTGAACGATTAGGTTGCATTGTATTTGCACATTGATTCTGAGAACAACCCTAAAATGGAATCAATTATAATAATTCAATATATACATATGGAAACCAACCAAGAATGGAATATCTGCATAAAATCAAAGTTTACTTAAAGACTGGAAATCAAATTCTGGTCTGACTTCTCAGCTCAGGTTTCAAATTGCAGGATTACACTGCCACCTAGTGTAAGCAAACATTTCCCAGCGTTTGAAAGCTAGTGAATGCATAAAATTTCATAGGATGCAACCTAAAACAATGCTTACTTAAAAGTTCTTTGGTAAAAGAGCAAAAGCAATTTCAGAATGAAGGATCTTTCTATATTTTATTAATAGAGTGTGACATGGATTCAGGAACACATTTTATATTTTTTGCTTGATAAATGAGAATAGTGCAGAAGGGAAGGCTTGGGTTTCTGTACTTCATTCTGCCAAGTAAATTTCTTTAATACTTATAACATAAAGAAATTAATACAATTTGTTTTCATAAGCTAATACAATTTGTTTTCATAAGTGTTAATGTTTCTAGTAGATCTGTCCTATGGGTACAACTGACGTTTATTTTAAAAAGCTATTTGGCAAGTAATTATGGATTTGCAGACTAATATTTTTAATATCAGTAAAAGGGAAAGTAGCTCAATGGAATTGAAAACATTACCTTTATGATCAGCTTTTCTCACTGGGCCAGCAGCACGAGCATCAACGAGAGAGATTGTTAGAAATATAAATTCTTAGACCCACCTTAAATCTCCTGAATCAGAAACTCTGGGGGTGAAGCCCAGAGATACATTTTTATCTTCAGGTGATTTTGATGTAGCTTTGGGAACCACTGTTAGAAAGGAGGGCTTATGACATGTAGAAAAAAGTGTTGAGTGACCAGCAGGTGAGGTTTGGAAGATGCAAAAGAGATTTAGGACATGAATCAGCTGCTACAAATTGAAGATAATTGATCTGCAAGGAAGCAAATGTAGCAACACATGTTGGAAGCACATGTGTGGTGGCGAGGAATTGATTTCTCCCTTCCTTGGGGAGATGCAAATACTCATATTTTTGAGGAAGCAAAAATAATATACCAGAAACCTTGGAGATGGGGATGGTATTTATGTTAAATAACACATTCTTGTATTAATGGCTCATGGCAAGAACACATTTATTTGTGAGTGATTTCAGAGAGAATGGTTATCATCATGGGGCTCTATTAGCTTGCTATATATGATTAGGCTACAATTACAAATGTAGAGCCAAAATAAGCAGACTAAAATTAGAGCTTTGATTGTGGTAGATTTCTTTACAGTAAAACTTAACTTAATGCAAAACTGTGGGAATCCTAGTTTTAGCAACTCTCTGATTATTAATCAGCTTCTCAGCCAGATTTCTTTGATAAATTTCATGTACTAGCTGTGGCTAATTTGCAGCATCCTCGCACCACTGCTATGTGTCACTAGGCATTTGAATCTTTTGTTTTTAAAAACAAGATATACAGAAGAAAGCTTACAACTAGATACTATTAGGAAGTTAGTTTAAAAAGAGCCTCTTCTCTGTTTCAATCTATAAAATAAATGTGAGACACATGGCATATTTTTTAAAAAGTTGTAAGTTTATGATAACTTCACTTCAAAAGAATACTTAAAAAATATTGTAGTGTAAAACCTAAGGAGTCTTCTTGACTATTCTATGAATTTTGTAGGATGTCCAACTATTGTGCCTCCTTAGGTAATAAGAGAAAAGATATCTCTTGACGTACCTAGTGCCTACTGCATTCTAATGCAATGTTTTTAAAACCTTGGGTTGCAACCAATTAGCTGGTCCTGAAATCAATTTATTGAGGTAGTCACCATCACTAAAAAATGAAACAGAATAAAACAGAAAATAGGGTGCACTACATTTATATGGATAAATATTTTCTTCTGAAACTTGTTTCAGTTGTGTGTATGCATGCATATTTATTAAATCCATCCAATTCATCCTTCAGCAATGCCAGAACCATTTTTCGGAAGACATATCTAAAAAGTTATTATTGGCCTCAAACTCCTCAACCAGCTCCCTTAATAGCCAGAATAAAGTCCAAACTATTTCAAAGGCTTTCAATATCTCCTTACTCAATGTCTCCTGCATGGGTCCTTATATCATTTCAGAAAATGACATCACCATCCACTAGTTTGCTCAAACTTGAAAAGTGTTTCACTCGCCCTCCTCTCCTTTATCCAGTCTACCCTTAGTCTTGTCACCGGATTCTCATCTAGTCTGAGTCAAAATTTATCATCTCAGAGGAGCCTTTTTTGACCCCTCAATCTTGATCAGCTTCTACACCTACCCCTGCCTTTCTCTAATACACATTGCCCATTTTTGTATATATATTTTTATAACAGTTCCAATTCAAACTATCTTGTCTGTTCTTCTACCTGAATTTAGTATCTATCTCCCCACCAGCTGTAAGGTCCATGGGGCAGGGACCTAGACCTTCTCCACTGTACCTCTGTGCTGAGACCAGTTCAAGGCTCATGGTAGAAGAGTCACCAATAAATATTTACCAAGTGAAAGAGTTCCTGAATTAAACCTGGGTTCCTAAAATACTCTCTTCTACCTTTTTTGCCAGGGTATCTGCTATTTCATCTGCCCAGAATGTACTGTTCCCACCTATTTTCTTTGTAAGCTTCCATTCATTCTTTAAGATTTCACTTCCTTTATGAAAAATTTCCTGATGCTCCTGGACCGAGTTCATATATGTTCTCAATGGTACTGCAGCTTCATTCCCTCACTGTTTTGCAAACATTTTCATATTGGATTTCCCAACTGGGCTGTGAACTTCCTTGGGGCATGGCTTTTTGTCTCCTCAACTCCTAGCACTTGGTAAGAATGGTTTTATACTTGGTACATATAGTCATTCACTAAGTGTTTGCTAAATGGTTGAGGACACAAATGAAAGAGAGTAGATGATCAAGAAAGATGATTATTTGTGATTATGTTCCCTGATTTAAACTGCAAGTAAATTAAATTCTGGATTTCTAGAGAGGGGAAGATGTGTGTGTGTGTTAGGAGAGGGAGGGAGTAAAAAGAGATGAAAGCATAATTATTCTGCTAAAATATTTCTATTTACAAAATGGATCATCTTTAAATATCGAGCTGTCTTACTGCATTTATGATTTTATATAATTGATCAGATTTCATTTCCACATAGCTTTTTAGGAGCAAACTGTTAGGTAAAGTGAGGAACAATGTTAGTGATGAAAAAGCTTATGTGTCTGTGACTTTAGAGTGCAATTTGAACTGACCAAAGGGTGTGGGGTTTGCCCTGCTCCCTGAGAGACTCTCATGTCAAGGTATGAAATATAATTAATGGAAAACAGGGTAGAAAAAGGAGAAAAAGTATCCTTAAATGTGGTGTGTGTGTGTGTGTGTGTGTGTGTGTATGAGAGAGAGACAGACAGACAGAGAGACAGCGAGAGAGAGAGAGAGAGAGATCTTGTTTTCTCTGGACTTACATTCTTTCTTAATAGAGCTCTAGCTTGCTCTTCAACATCTTACATAAAACTGCCAAACTAGAATAAAGCCAAACCACTTATAAGAAAACCTATTTTGTTCTCATTTTAAAAAACATTTATTAAAATTCCCCCTTCATTTGCCTTCTCATTCTAGCTGTAGAGGACTGTTCAAAATGGGATGAGGAGGGGACAAAAGCAGGTAAGATCTTTAAAACACTTAACAAAAGGACTTCTCAAACACTAAATTACACAGGAAAATCTGCCTCTTTTGTCTCCCACAATAAATAGTATGAGAAGATCTGTAATACAAATAAAGAACTTAAGTGGAGAGGATCCCTTTGGAAAATGCCCCTTCCCTTGTGAATCTAGGGCTGGCTTACCTTGTGTGATTTCAGAGAGGTCCCCAGCTGCACGGTTTCTCTTCTGAAGTCCTACCATTAGAGTTCAGGTTTTGTTTTGTGTTGGTTTTGTTTTTGTTTTTTGTTTTTTTGTGTTTTTGTTTTTTGATTAGTTAACTGCTCCATTTACGTAAGCCCTGGTCAACTTTCAAGAAAAAGCCAGACTGGAACCATTTATAATTCTGTGATTCAGCCAAAATGGCTGCCTTTGGGAACCATAATTTTGATTGATGGAAGGAGAATGACAAGGCCCTGTGGAGAGCCCAAACAAATGAAGAAATGGATGTCCTAATTCCAGGGGAGAGACAGGTAGGTCAAAAGTAGAAACTAGAAAGAGGAACAAATGAGGTAGATGTTCAGGTTTACCTGGCTCTCAGCTCATCATGGCAAACAAACTCTCCATCAAACTGAGGAAAACAGAAGAGGAAAGGATTTTTTTTAAAGAAACAAACAAAAAATAATACCATTTAATTTACAATTTAAAAATTCAATTGATTTAAAAATTAAAGAAATATCAAGAAAACAAAACTACCTCATACTAGACACCAAAACTTATTAAGATCAGTGGATCATCTGAACCTGAAAGTCTTTGTTTTTGATTGGACGCTGATGTCTCCCAAGATGGGACAAAAAGCAGACCATCCCAAGTGGATAAGGTGGAGGCTCTTTCTTGAAGTACTTAGGTTCTGAAGAGAAGATGGATATATGTGATATGGTGTTGATAAAAAAACCTTTCACTTCAGGTCTATGCTCCTTGTAACATGTTCTCAACTTGTTTATAGAGGATAATATGTTGTTTACTTCCCAGGATATTCTGCTTAGCTCTGGTAATTATAGAGTTTAAGAAGAAATAAAAACTAGGGGGCTTGATGTTACATTTTACCAAGTTTTTTGTGCCTCAATTGTCTAACCTGTAGAATAGGAGTCACTTTAGTTTTACTTTATAGTGTTTAGAGAATTAAATGTTATCAGGCTTTAAGCATTTTAAGCAGAGGGGTCAAATACTGAAGTGTTAGTTATAATGATGATGACAATGGGAAAGAATGACTGTTCCCCTGTGCCAGGCATTTGATTTTCTTCTTTGATATCTTGTTTCATTCTCAAAACAATTGTTTTAGGTAGCTATTTTCAACCCACTTTTCATCTAAGGTAGCTGAGTTACATACAGATTAACTAATTTGCCCCAAAACATACAACTGGTAAACTTCAGAACAAATGGAGATTCAAATCTAGGTTGGCTGTGCACCAAGGCCCCCATGAGTTCCCACATCTCTGCTTTCCAGTGAGCCCCTCTTTACCTCAGTCCTCTAAAAGCATTCACTGTATTTCTATAGCAGTTCTAAAAGCTTCCATTGTATTCCTATAGCAGCTTGCCTGAGTTTTTCTGGTGAATTTCTCCACATCCTGACTTTTTTTCTTTTCAGCAAACTTTCCCTTGCTAATCCCTCCTTCTGTGTAACCTTGTTAGCTTTGAGGACACACCCCTGGCTGGGCCTGGGCTTACAGGGCCACCTCTCCCCACCCCTTCCCTCTCCTGTGGTTTAAAGTGTCACCGATGCCTTTGGCTCACTCCCTTTGCTTTAAGCCCTTACACAGGCAGGACGAACCAAGGCTGGGCCTGGAACCCATTAGTCCTGGGGTGACAGTGAAGGGGTCTTGGGGGGAGTGCTGACCTCCCCTACAACCCCATCATCACCAGGACTGTTGGCACAAAAGAAAAACGAATGGGAAAATGAAGAACTTCTGGTAAGACCTTGACACTGGAAAGGGTGGTGGGGAGACTGGGTTGGGGGCCCTCAGAACCAAGGGTCTGTGTTTCTGCAGCGGTGGTAGGATAAGAGGAGGTGAAGGTAGATGGGGAGGGGAGAGGAGAGAGAGAGACTCAGAGAGACAGAGAAAGACAGATGGGAGTGAAACAAAAGAACAAGCATAAGAGACAGGAGAGAGAGAAAGGAGAAAGAGAGAGCTATTAAAGTGAAGAGGGAGAAATATTAGGATGAAAGAAAACAGACAAGGAAATAGATATAAAAACAGTGAAATAGGGAGATACAGAGAAAGTATGATAAAGCAAATAGTGATCTCATGATTGTTTTAGAAGGAGCTGGAAACGTGAGACTTCATTAAATCTCTCAAGAGTTCAAAGTCAAATGGAAAAAGTAAACTATACTGAGATTTGATTACCTACCTTAATTGTGTTTACCATATTTCCAAATATTTAAGTAGTCCTCATCTGGAGGGACTCCTATTTGAGTCATTTTCTTTTCTCCTCTTCAGGAAAATTCCAGTTTTCTTCTTTGTATGCAGTTTCCTGGGATCTTGGGCATCGGCAGCTGTCAAGCGTCGCCCAAGTAAGGGCCACAGTTTCTGCATTTTGAAATATCACTTGTTCCCAGAAAGGATCACACAGGACTATGGTTGAGTGAGGGCTGAGTGAAATATCCATGGTCCTCCACAGCCTTACTCTTCAATCCTGCTTTAGCCATGGGTTTATTCCATGGCTGGTTTTATGTGGCCAATACTAGGTATAGAAATCCCGGCTGTGATCACAATTGGCAGGAAAACCAACCTGTGTACTCTAGTGCCTTGCACATTGGACCTACTTGGTTAATGTGGTGATTGGTAATGTTGGCTGGGTGGACCGATGGATGGATGAATGGATGGGTGAATGACCTGGGGTCAGGGGAGGTGTAAAGAGTATTTTGATGTATTGGGATGGCTGGGCCAAAACTTGTAGCTGGAAAATGCTTTTTCTGAAGTCTAGGAAGCCTCTGTTGTCAGATGAGTCTTAGCAAGGTGCTGGGGTTATACAGTTACAAGAAGCTTTCTTAAAAACTTCTTCCCTGCAACCTTCCACATGTGTAAGGAGCATCCAATTTAATTCTAGGATTTCTCATTGAATTAAGAGTTTAATTATTTTCATGATTCTTGTATCCTCATTACTTTTCCCTATTCTAGGATGATACCAATGGTCTACGTGGGCACCCATTTTTGATCTCTTAGAATGAATTTGTAAAATTAAAAGCATCTTATATACTTTATTTTGGATTAATAAATCCCAAGTCGCCCTCCAAACTCCTCTATTTAACAAAGATTCCTAAGAACTCTGCTCTCCAGAAATCCCACTAGCTGGCTCAAGGCTGGCTCTGGATTCTGTTAGGAATTCTAAAATATGTGGTGTTTAAGGAATATTTTCTAGTCCAAGCCACCAGAAGTTTTCCAAACAGGCATCTGACACTGTGCCATTCAGAACATTGCGCAGCTCTCATTCCAAAAGGAACAAATTCCTAACTTCCTCCAAAGGAACATTTTCCCAGTACAAATTATTAAAACTCTGCACTTTGTTTCCCTTCCAGGATGAGTTGAAGATGAATTAATTATAATTTTAGAGCCATAGAATTAAAACCAAATACACCATAAGCAAGCTATTTGACATATTATTCTCCTATAAATAGTTGTCCAGCCCTTATTGTTATTGATATATCTTCATGGTCCTTGTAGTGGTTGGTGTAGGATGACATGTTAACTCTTTTGCAGGATTCCCTGTTAATTCAAATTCTAATGGTGGAAATGAACTCTGTCCAAAGGTCAGGATTGGCCAAGATGATTTGCCAGGCAAGTAACCTTATATCATATTGAAAATGCATGCTTTCTATGAACCTACCTGATATATTCTTTTATTTGGAAGGTTGTGGTAAGGAATGTAACCCATCTCATTTTAGACTTTTTATTTTGTGTTCCCTTTCTGTAGGGTTTGACTTGATTTCTCAGTTCCAGGTAGATAAAGCAGCATCTAGAAGAGCTATTCAGAGGGTAGTGGGATCAACTACATTACAAGTGGCTTACAAACTGGGAAATAATGTAGACTTCAGGATTCCAACAAGGTATATAAAAATATTTTATTTAATTATCTGCCTCAAATGCATTTTGAAAAATGAAAAGCTATCCAATGTTAGAAAATCTTCTTATACTGAATCCTTGTTAGATCATGATTTTATTTAAAGATGAAGAAATATATTTACTTATCTATCTTCAGTCTTCAGTGTTTAAATATATGAATGTTCTTCATGTCTCCAGTATGTAATTTACTTTTCATTCCAGAGAGAAAAAAAAATTACTGAGACCATTATACATTGATTCAGGACATGTTCTTATTACTCTGCTCTCTGTTTTTGTATAATTTTGTCTGGTTTTGGCTGAAAGGACCCTCTGTGCAAATTGCCAGAGGTTGAGCATAAATTTAACTAGGAACCGCGGAGTGGTTAGAACTCTCAATGGTGCTGTTCAAGCGTCCTGGTGCTGAAATTGAACCACACATCTCCTGCTTGGTTCCTGGCAGGAATCAAACAAAAGCAAAATTAGAATAATGGTAACTGGAGCAATGGTAGTAACAATAATTTCAAAATCCTCCATTTCATTTAACTTCTCTAGAACTGTTTTTTATCCTTTAAATTATTCATAACTGTGGTGCTTTAGTGTATGGAAGTGTTGAGTCATACCATTGTTATGAATGAACTTCAGGACTTTTAGTTTTATATCACTTAAATACTTTATATATATTTATCATAATTATTGTATGTTTTAGTGCACTGTGAAAAATTGAATTAAGATTCTTTTGATAGACTAACCAGAAAATTAGGGCTTTGATAAAAAGGTATAAAAGTAAATAATGATTAATTGGAACAGTAAAAGACTATTATAAAGCTCTAAATGTTTATAATAATGAAAATTTTGGTCAAATTAGAATATTCTGATGTAGTGCCAGACTGCAGATAGAAATTTATGTTTTGAACACATGAACTATGTATTTTTTCCAAATATGAACTATATTTTATAAAATGACAATAGTTCACTGCATAAGCTCTTTTTATAAATTTGTTAATTAACATTAAATCTCATCGTAATTGCAACCCTGTGGTAGAGACATTATTATTCACATTTTATAAAGCAGGAAACTGAGGCCAGAAAGTTTAAGACTTACATGAGGTCCCAGGGTTGGGAGGTGCTGGAAGGATTGAAGTTCAGGCAGAATGGTGCTTCAACTGACCCTGGAAAATTATTCACATTTGGAAAGATTATAGGCATGATAACAGCTACTGACTTTTTTTTTTGCTTATATTTTCTTTTCATGCACAGAAGTGCTAGTTATGTGTGTGTGTGTGTGTGTGTGTTTAAAGTAGACTCCATGCCCAGTGTGGAGTCCTAGTTGCATTCTTTTTTTTTTTAAAGATTTTATTTATTTTATTTATTTATTCATGAGAGACACACAGAGAGAGGCAGGGACATAGGCAGAGGGAAAAGCAGGCTCCTTGCAGGGAGCCCGATGTGGACTCAATCCCGGATCCCAGAATCACACCCTGAGCCAAAGGCAGACACTCAACCACTGAGCCACCCAGGTGTCCCTCCTAGTTGTGTTCTTAAATAAGCTTTAAAAAGATCGTTTTTTTAAATAAAATAAACATGATGCAAGACCCCTCTATGCTGACATAATTCTCTCTTCTATAATTTGAGCTACAATCTGGATTGTCATTAAGTAAATCTAATTTCAGATATTGACCAACTTGAGGCCACATAAACTCATACCTCGTGCTCATCTTTGCTGTTGCTCTTCTCTAAGTTCCTAGAGCTGTCACTAAATATTTGTCACAGTATATAACCAATGTTCCATATTCTCTGTTTCCTTGACTCTCTGCCCCCACAAAGACTAAAAACCCTGATTTACTGGCAAAACTCATTAAAAGATGAAAAAAGAATTAGGTAGGAAGTAGAAAAAAAGTAGGGGAAAGAAAAAAATAGGAAAGGAGAGTCAGAGCACTGAGATAAATGGAGTCTCAAATAGGTAATAAGGTGTATTCTTGGGCAAAATACCTACACTATCTTTATTTCAGTCTCTTCAGAATAAATTAGGAATAATAATAATTAGGTCATAGATTTGCCATGAAGATCAAATGTTAATAAATTGGAGAGAGCTTGGATGAAGCCTGGCACACAGTGGTATTTGTTAAGTATTTGTCTAAGTAGTGGGGAGCACTAGAAGGAGCAGATGGGAACCTTTTCTCCTTAGTGGATTCTTTCTTTTCAAGCTGCCCTCCCAGTCCTACTCTTTCCAGGTGGCAAGAAAGGCAGGGTTTGGAATTTCTTTCAGATCATGTGGGGAGCAGTTTTGATTTAAAGGAAATTTCTATACTGAGAATATAGGTTATGAGGGAATGAAAAGAAAACCTTAACAGGATTTTCATGGGAGGGAAATGAGAGTATGGTATATAAAGCTGATATGATAGAGTCACAATTTACCTTCATCTTTTCAATTTTTTAAAAGATTATGAAATCTTTTTTGCTGCTTTTTATTATTTAGACATAATAGTATCATATTCTCAACTCAAACTTACAAACATTTTGTGTTTGTTTACATTAACAAATAAAATTCTTAGCTCTTTTTTGGCTTAAGGTCATAAACAAATGTTTCAAGGTCTAGTCTTCTCATCTTTTATTCAAACCTTTACAGTTCTTCTTTTAAGGTACTTTGTACAGATGTAACATAATGAAATAAATCATTTATAGATGTAGCTTCTTTTACATTATGTATGCTGTCAAGTTTACTTATTGATGTGCATAGCATATTTGCAAGAACGGAATCTCAGGTGTTCAAAAAAGACAATGGTACTGACTGCTATATAAATTAGACTTGTGAGGACTTCTAAAAGGTCCTAAGTAAATATAAATAATATATATATTATTAATTTGAACACTGAAAAGAATTTTCTTCTCTTATATTGACAAATTACCTAGTTTAAAAGATTAAGAACATAATAATCTTGATTATAGTTATATACATACACAAATATACACATATATATTATCTTCATGTTTATGAATACAGAGAGCAGATGGATACATTTAATTTAACATATGTCTATAAATGAACTGTTCTAGCAACCCCAGTCACCAACTCATTTTTATTTTTTATTTTTTTATTTTTTTAAAAGATTTTATTTATTTATTCATGAGAGACACAGAGATTGAGAGGCAGGGACACAGGCAGAGGGAGAAGCCAGCTCCAAGCAGGGAGCCGGTTGTGGGACTCAATACGGCGTCTCCAGGATCATGCCCTGTACTGAACGTGGCGCTAAACCGCTGAGCCACCCGGGCTGCCCACCAACTCATTTTTAAAAAAAGTTTTTGGCATTATAAAACCAAGTCAGTGGTATATAGGGACATTATGTTCTATCCTACCTTCAACATAATCTCTTTGCTCATTTAGCAGGAAAGATGAGATGAAGCATAAGTTGGGAGAAATTCCTGAGTCAACCTGACGATGTATTTGCAAAAGAGTCACTTAGACAAGTTACTATGACTTGTGGAATCAAAGCAAGATAGGTTTGTTTTACCTAGGGACTGATAAATTCTACAGCCTTGCTCAGTCATCTGTAAACAAATACATTAGTGGCACAGGTTTACAAAAACCTAGAAAAAGAGTGCTTTAAAGAAGAGAATAAAACTTTAAGATTTATCTTCCTTCTATGAAATTCTCTTACCTCAACATTAACTGTATTTGGACAAAAAAGAAAAATGAATTCTTTAAGCATCTGTTTAAATCCAGATCATTAAGTAAGAAGAATATTAAAATAACATACTCACAATTTAAATAGATACTTGTCAAATTTCACCATTGAATAAAATTTGTTTTAAAGATTTTATTTATTTATTCATGAGAGAGAGAGAGAGAGAGAGAGAGAGAGAGAGAGAGAGAGAGAGAGAAAGAGAGGCAGTGACACAGGCAGAGGGAGAAGCAGGCTCCATGCAGGGAGCCTGATGTGGGACTTGATCCAGGGACTCTAGGATCCCTCCCTGGACCAAAGGCATGCACTAAACCACTGAGCCACCCAGGGATTCTATGAATAAAAATTTTAAACTTATCTCCCAGCTCCAAGTTAATTGAGGTCAGTTAAATGAAATGTAAAAATGTCTATAAGGTTTTTGTAATTATGCAGTAGGTAATATACTGTCATCAGTGAAAGTGAACCTTAGTTTCTTCTCTAGAGGTTATTCTGGAATATGCATATTCTGGAAAATTGAAGTCAAAGGAAATATGTTAAACAAAATCGATATTAAAAGTAAATATCAAAATAGATGTGGGCATCTTTATCCTGGGGAAATAGTTCTTGCACACATTTTTTTTCTTCTTTAGCTTCAAACTGAATATTTTAATGTATTTGTTGAAACTTCCTGTATACTTAAAAAAAAGATATTATTTGTTTGAGACACACAGAAAGAAAAGCATGAGTGGAGGAGAGGGGTAAGGGGAGAGGGAGAAGCAGACCCCACTGAGCAGAGAGCCCAATGTGGGGCTTAATCTCAGAACTCTGAGATTGTGACTTGAGCCAAAGGCAGACACTTAACTGACTGAGCCAACCAAGTGGCCTCAAACCTCCTATATACTTGACAATCATTTAATGAATTGGAAATTTTGTAATAAGTATATTGCAAATCACCAGTGATCACCAGTACATATCACCAGTGATCATTTAAGAATGTGTACTAACAAAGCAATTCACCCAGGATTATAAATAAAAACAAAGTCGTTTTAGTACATAACGGTTAAAAGAAGTACTTGGATGCTAAAAGGGAATTCAGGTGAAAAGCTTCATATTTTTGTTATTTTTGTCAGCAAAGCAATGAAATTTCTTGACATAGTTGACCCATTTATTGAAGGTGTGCAAAAATATTTGTAGTAAAGAGTTATATGTTTGTTTATGCAGTTGTGAGAGATGATAAAATTTTATAGTTAAAATCAAAGCAAAGATAGAAAATCTCAGTAAATTGAGTAATTTCATTTATTGCTAAACATTCTTGGAACTGAATAATTTTTTTGGTTTAGAAATTCTTGACCTCCTCAAAATATATTTTAATGCAACTGACAATAACACGTATGCCAATACAATAAATGTATGTGTTATTCATTTTGCTACAAATTAAATCAGCATCCACTTAGATATTTCTTCTTGCTTTTCTCTTTTTCATTTCAGAAGAGGGGCTATTTAACAGGAGTCTGACCTGAAGGAAAGTTATTTGGGGCTTTGAGCTCTGGTCCATAATTATTCTCAGAAATGTCAAATATTATTTACCAAACAAAATTAATGGCATCTAGTTTTCATAGCATTCTTACCTTCCTTAGGAATTTTTCTATACTGAGGAGGAGAAAGGTAGAAAAATCTTCAAGCTTGTGAAAGATGATGCTTACCTTTAATATGTTCTGATTTTTAAAAATTGCAGTCACAGCTTTTAGCAGCTTGGTTTCAACAAAAGAAGATCCAGGTAGTTGGTGCTGAGATCACAGTTCCCACGTGGACTGGAGATGCCTTTAGGACACTGCAGTTGTATGTTGTTATTTAAAGCAATAAAAGAAGGAGCAATGATACAGACTTAGTTGTCAGGTCCTGAAACAACTGGACTTGAGTAGAGAATTAAGAACTGGCCAGTTTTCCCTTGTCATACATCCAGTGACAAGCAACAAGATGCTACTTTAATGTTACACTTTGAACTGGGAAAAGACTAACATGCTCAGTGTGAAGGAGCTTCTCAAGTCTGTGTGGTTACTGATTCTCAAAATGCATATGTGGGTCTAGGATAGGATATAATTGTGGAGCGAACTACCCAGGTAATTATGGAAATGACAAATACTCCTAACAATGTGCTATATAAAAAATTTAAAAGCTGCTTTAATTAAATGGCTTTATTAACTAGTAGAGCTGATATGGATTCTGAATTATTTCTTCTTTAATTTGTGGAAGGAATGCTGCCAAGAACCTTGCAAGAATATGTTTTTTGGCTGAGATGGAACTGCTGTACAGGCGCTCTTTAGGTAGCATAAATAGTAATATTGTTGGGGTTATGTAGCATTGGGAACCCAACTTAGCTATGAGGAGTGAGGAAAGGTTTTTTTTTTTTTAATGTGTATTTTAGGATGGAGCATTAACGTATGTGAATGATTGAAGGTCTTTATGGGCAGTTATGAAAGAACAAACAGGGCATAGTTTTTCACACTGTAGCCTTTCTGTAGGTCTAGAATCTAAAAAAGCCTAATAAGAAAATATGAAATAATATGCATGGGCACAGAAAACAAGACGTTTATTTACTGTTTTAAATTTTTACTCAGGGATTTATATCCCAGTGGTCTGCCTGAAGAATACTCCTTTTTAACTACCTTTCGGATGACTGGAAGCACACTTGAAAAGAACTGGAGCATTTGGCAGATTCAGGATTCCTCAGGGAAGGAGCAAGTTGGCGTGAAGATTAATGGCCAAACAAAATCTGTTGCATTTTCATACAAGGGACTGGATGGAAGTCTCCAAACTGCAACTTTTTCAAATTTGCCTTCTTTGTTTGATTCCCAATGGCATAAGATCATGATTGGTGTGGAAAGGAGTAGTGCTACTCTTTTTGTTGATTGCAACAGGATTCAATCCTTACCTATAAAGCCAAGAGGCCAAATTGATGTTGATGGCTTTGCTGTGCTGGGAAAACTTGCAGATAATCCTCAAGTTTCTGTTCCGGTAAGTATAAAACCATACACCATGGTTGATTCAAATGAAACTGGATTGCTAAAAACTAATATGTCAGGTATCTTTGATAATCATCTGAATATCTTAAGCAATAAATAGTTATTCATTTTCAAAATTCCCTCAAACACTTACTCAAAAAGCATTCAGTGCCTATCTTGTGCATTGCATATATCAAAGGGAATGGGAAATCAAGAGAAAGTCAAATAAATGGCTCCTGGTCTGGAGGAATTTCAAGTCTACTTGGAAGATGCTACATACCTACTGGAGCTCTCAGAATCCTTCAGAGGACATGTAAAAGAAGCCAATACTGGTGGCTTACATTGTGTATATATAAATAACTAATGAGAATATTCAAAGTAAGGTTAATATGAATGGTGGATTTAGTTAGTCAAGAATTCTGTGCTTCTTGAAGGCAATGAACCTTGAAATAGAAGGATCTGAACCAGCAAAAAGTGTATTCTAGCTGAGGGAAAGAGCATTAAATGAAAAGAAAGTGGAGAATAAGTGGGCCCAATCAAAGTTTTGGAGACCAGCTGGTTTGGATGAAATGTATAAATGAAAATGTGTGTGTGTGTGTGTGTGTGTGTGTGTGTGTGTGTTTGAGAGAGAGAGAGAGAGAGAGAGAGAGAGAGATGAGGGGAAGTGATGAGGTAGGAGATACTAACTGCAGGGTATGAGAGATGAGGTTAGGAAGTCGTACAGTATCTGATTAACAAAAATGAAAAGTATACAGATGGTACAATATTTATGTATTTATTTATTTATTTATTTATTTATTTTTAAATTTTTTTTTAACTTTATTTATGATAGTCACAGAGAGAGAGAGAGAGGCAGAGACACAGGCAGAGGGAGAAGCAGGCTCCATGCACCGGGAGCCCGACGTGGGATTCGATCCCGGGTCTCCAGGATCGCGCCCTGGGCCAAAGGCAGGCGCCAAACCGCTGCGCCACCCAGGGATCCCTATTTATGTATTTAGAAGTAGGTCTTGCATGACATATTATAAAAGTAAAGGATTTTAGAACTCTGTTCAGGATTTTACTATAGAGTTTCATGGATATAAAGGTTAGGAATTATTTAATAACAGAATAATTCTGTCAATCAATAACATATAGTTCTATCATTTTGAATTGTTAAATTTTCATTGAACAATCCTTTAAAAGGGTATTTTATGATATCATTACAGGAATTAAAAATATATCTTATAGGATAAGTGTTCTTTCTAAATTAAAGAATTTACAGCTCAATAAACTATAGAGCTCAATAAACTATTGAGGCCAACATATTCTCTCTCTCTCTCTCTCTCATACAAAACTATTAAATTCTAGTCACAAAACTCATATCATGGCATGTAGCAGGGGTGATACAATGATTTTGAATTGTTTCCGTGTACTTCTCCAAAGAAAAAAAGGTTATCAGGCACTCAGTAATGGAATTGTTCAAATAGCTTATTTTCAAGGGAAGAATTGTGATTAGTGTGAAGGGTAGTGTGAAATTTCTATATTCTGTGATGGACAGGAAGCAATTTGTAACTGCCACATTACTGCTCTGGCTTGTAGACACTTGAGAAAGTATTTCTTCAACTAATGAGTTATCACACCTCAAGTGGATGGGTTAAAAAGCCAATGGGACTACTATTGCCATCTTGAAAGTTTGTGCAGTGAGGTTGTTGCAATGGCATGGGATTGGTTTGCAGACAACACCAAACTTCTGCAGTGTCCGTGTCATTTCTGGACTATGGATAAGGGCAGGGAGACCTTAAGGCACCTCTTTAATAAAATGATCATCAATCAAGTACTCACAAAAATTGATTTATTGATTCATTGGCCTTGAAAAACATTTCACTTTTTTTTGTAGCTTCAAGTTTTTATTTAAATTTCAGTTAGTTAACATACAGTGTAATATTAGTTTCAGGTATAGAATTTGGTGATCCATCCCTTACATACAACATCTGGTGCTTATCACAGCCAGCATCCTCCTTAATACCTATCACCCATTTAACCCATCCCTTATAAAACATTTCAAATCATTATAAATCTGAATGCTAGGACATTATTAGATTCTTTGATTGCCAGAGTGGTGAAGTCTCAATATTACTCCACTATATTATAGTCTAGCTAATAATACTATAGCTGACTGTAGGTTTTCTGCCAAGCCTAGTCTCATGTCAGAGTGGAGACCAGTTAGTTATCCTCTGTTTTATTCTCCAGTGCAGGAATGTAACAAAGAACCTGGCAGCTGATATTATATTTTGTTTCTGGTCCACCAAGGAGGTTTTCAAAGTCAGTACACTGTAGCCAATGTTAAAAGTAATTGAAGCAGGCATGAACAATTTTTTCCTTTATACTGAATTTTGACTCTCTCACAAGGAAAGACAAAAGAGACTTGAACCTAAAGATTCATTAAAGTTTCATATTTTATGAGATAGTGGTGGTAGTACTAATAACAGGTCAAAGTTATAGGCCAAAAAATAAATCCTACTTCCATCCAAGGACTGGCAGTGACAATGTCAAACTTAAACCTGCCACTAAAATGTATCCCTCAATTTTTACTCTAAATTAGACAAAGAAACAGAAAATTCTATGTAAAAAAAAAACATTATATTTTTAAGCACTTTAATACCCATAATATGCCAATTTAAAGTCTCAAAAATGCTTTCCCATTAACTTATTTTATGCTTGCAACAATTTTGTAAGATGGAGAGCTCAGATAGGATTATTCCTACTTCTCAGTTGAAGATGTGACTTCAAGTAGGGTTCTTGGCGTGTAAGAAACCATGTTAGGCATAACATTTCTAATCACCCTATTTTCTGCTGTGCCAACTAACTTTCCTTGGAGAAAAGTAAAAATATGTATAACCATATACCTTTTCTTATGAAGCATTTCCTCACTTTCATTTTGGAAGGCATTTGTGATTTGCATAGATTTTTCAGAATTTACCCACAGAATAAATAAAATCAATGTTTTTTTTTTTTAAAGAAGAAGGATTGTACAGTGTAAAACATGTTTTCAGACATTAGTCCTACCTGTTTATTAATTTAGTAAACTTCCATCATGTGCCTGTATACTGGGTGTCCAAAATCAAGTAAATTACAGGTCTTATCTTCTTCAGTCTCTTGAGTGTGAGGGGTTGAGATAAGTAAACAATGACAATACAATATAATAAGGATCATGATAGTGGATGGAAGCACATGGAAGAAGCTCAGATCAGGCCAGGGAGGAAAGAGGGTGGAGGTCAATTGTGTTTACTGTAGAAGGTGATGTTTAGAGAAATCCTGGGGGTGAATGAGTATTATCCAGGAGAAGATAGGGTCCAGTGTTCTAGGCAGAGAGGCTCTCATTTGGGGATTCCCAGATATGTCAGGTCTTTCCTTTTCAAGTTTTATAAGTCTTCCCACATTGCTCCTCATTTTTCTAGATTAAGAATAGTCAAAATACCCATACACATCCCCAGAGTCCAAGCCCAAGTGCCCATGAGTTGTCTCTAAGCCCTTGTTTTAATTCTTGTTTTATGTTTTGATTTCTCACCAATTTAACTGCAATCTGAAGTTGCTGGCAATTGCTCAAAGGTCTACAATGACCATATGTCCCTAAGAAGACTTAGAGAATGATGAATAATAGTATCCATATATTCTGAGAGGTAGAAGTATACTGAGAGGGCAACTTTTTCTCCATTTGGAGATAGCATATAATCAATAGTAATGTGCGAGAAATTTTAAATTAGAGTGAAATGTGCCAATAACATAAAAACAGTAAGGAAGAGTATATATTTTTCAATTTTTCTTCATGAAATTAGATTCATTCTGTTTTTTGACATTCTAGATTAATTGAATACTTTTCTCAGGATCAACACTGGCTTTTCTTTAGTAAATAAATCAAAAGCAAACATCCCTTCTAAAGGTATTAACAAATGTCAAAAGGTAGCCCTAGGAACTGCATAATAAAAAATGCAATTGAAAACAACATTTGATGGAGTACTAATGCTAAAAGACTCATTTATATTGTACTTGTTTGTGATTTTCCCCTATCTACCCTATCTTGTGTATCTTTCTCTATTCTAAATTGGAAAAGGAAACCAATTTCAAGAGGTTTTTCATAAAGCTGGGCAGTATAGCTGCGCGTGTGATCTACAACTCAAATACCTTCTCATCATTCATGGTTATTTAGTGGGCTCAGAGCATTTTATATTTTTTCCCAATATACTGCTGTAATACATTGTTAGTTTGATTTTAAAGCAACAAATCCCATATTTCCTATTCTCCTTTGTGCCCATATTTTAGGATGGTGCCATTTATCCCACTGCAAAGCTCAGTTTTCTGGCAGCATACCATAAAAACATGTTATTTTATGACAGGTTCTTTATTGTTTGTTGTCAGCATGGTTGCCTAGGAGAGTTATTTGGTACAGCTCTATTAGAAAACAAAGTTAGCCTTACTCCTTTTTCAGGGATGTACACTGGGGGTTTGGGCTTAAAGAATGATACAAGTTTATGTGGCTTTACAAATACATGATTCAAAACCTTTTTCTTTTTACCAATGCTTATTCAAAATAAACAAATGTGTAAAATAATCAGAAGATATAGTGCCTTTAAAAGTATATTTTAAAAAATGCTACTTTGTGTTATTTTTGTTAAATTCAGAGGAAATGTGAGAGCAAATAGAAAGAACAGTCAAAACTAGTGATTCAGAAGCTCTCTGTCCTTTTTTCTATTCCATATAATTAAATAACACTAACCTCCACATGCATAAACAATGAAAATTTCAAAAATTATAACATGGGAAAATCAACTATGAGGTTGTGGTTAATATGCATTTTGGTACATAAAAAATATTGTAGGAAAGGTATGTTTTCAGTGATTTAAGAAACGCATAATATCTAAATTATTGTTTGCGTATTAAGTTGCTTCTTCGACAAGCACACCTTTTACAAATACTCTTTCACTTGTATGAAATAAATACAAAAGAAATAGTTATCTATACATATCCATAAGAAAG